CTCCCTGCATCTAGTCTCTTTCTGATTTGAAAACTGGCACAGCCCTGGCCCCTGCAGCTCAGTTGGTTGGGCATCCACCTGCAAAGCAAAAGGTTGCAGGTTCCATTCCAGGTCAGGGCACAGGCCGGGGTTGTGGCTGCAGCCCCCGGTCGGGGTGTGTGCGAGAGGCAACTGATTGGTGTTTCTCTCTCATGCTGATGTCTCTCTCCCTCTCTTTCTCCCTCCCTTCCCCTCTCTCTAAAAATAAATAAATTTAAAAAGTAAAATAAACAAATAAATGAAAATGGTGCAAGTTCAGAAGCACTCATTTATAACCTTCATATTGAGGGTCGGGACTAGGGCTGTGATCATGGGCTAACCCGTCTCAATTGGCTAAGTATTCACACTTCATAACCGTCCCCTTTCTATTCCACCATTCGACGAGCACACGTCACATACAAGCACAATACTGGGACTGGAAACACAGAGAAGGATGAGACAAGCCCTCTGGCCCTCACGGAGGTGGTCTGAGGCAGGGCTTGAGGCCATGCACTTCGCAGTTGGAATGCTGGTTCTAACTGTGCTTGAGCTCCGTGACCTTGCTCAAGGAGGGACCTTCCCACCCTGCCCTTGGTTTCTCCCCGAGTGAAATAGCGCAGTAGTACCTGCGTACAGGGCTGCGGGAGGTCGCAGTCTATCAGGTGCTTAGCACAGTCCTGGCCTGGTGCAGTGCGCTTACTGCTCAGTGTGTTGGCCATTAGTACTGTGGAGTTCACATTCTCGTAGGGTGAGAGATCATATCATACACATTAAATATAGTTCAGCAAAGCTCCCTAATGGGTCTCGGAACAAAATGCCATAAGAGCCTGATGAGAAAGAGAATTAGAAGTTCATTTATGCTGTTTTATTGGGTTTTCTTTGAAGTGGTAATCATGCAGAGAGAGTCTTAAAAGTGGAGACCTCTACAGTGGACCTTGAAGATTGAATTAACAGGGCAGGAGAGGAGGGGAGTCAGGAAATGCCCAGTGAGCAACAGCATGAGCAGCTAGCATGAGCAAAGGCCGGGCGGCGTGAGGTGGCTGGCATGTCCAGCGTCCAGCAAGCAGTGTGGAAAGAACACGGGAGGACAGGTCAGGCCAGGGTCCAACCATTGTGAGCCCTAGACAGCAATGGGATCAAATCTATGTTCTGCAAAAATGACTTGCCCCCTTCCTGGAGGAGAGACTGCATCAAAGAGAGACTGGAAAGCAGGGAGCCTGTTATGAAACGGTCACGACAGCCTGAACTGGGGCAGTGGCGGTGGGATTGGACAGGTGAGGACACAGCTGGGAGAGGGACTTGCAGAGAGACTAGAAAGCATAGTGACCGACGGGAGGTGGGGGACAGAGGAAGCACTCACGGATGACTTTGTCCTCCAGCATGAAATAAGAAAAACAGGAAGAGAAGCAAGTTTGGAGAGAAAGATAATGAGTTTAGTGCTATAAATATTAAGTTTGGACTGTCTGCAGGAAGAATGTCTGAGGGGAGAGTTTAGAATGTAATTCTGGGTAGACTCGTCCAGGATGGTGAGGAGAAGGGACAGTAGAGGAAAAGGGAGGAAGTGACACTTCGAAAAAAGGGACTTGCACATCTGTGCGGCCCAACTGGTTCTACGAAACAGAACCAGAACCGAACAAACACGTCTCTAAAATCACCCTCCGCACCAGTAAACCTGGTTCACTCACGGCACCTTAATACGCCTGTACGTTTGTCTGCACCTGCCTTGCCTCCATTCAACATACACTAACTAAGCATCTATTATGTGCCAGGCACCGTTCTAGATTTTGGTGACAGAGAAGGGAAAAAGTCAAAACCCTGACATTGGGGAGTTTATGTCTTAGTGCAGAAGACAGTCAATAGCGAGTGACTGAATAACATGAAATATAATTTTAAGTAACCACAGTGAGGGAAAATAAAGCCAGCAGGAGGTCAGAAAGTCACCAAGGAGGGAGAGGAGGGGAGCTCTATGAAATCGGGTGGTTGTGGTCGGGGAAGCCATCTCCATTGAAGTGACGTTCCACGCGGAGACCCGAAGTGATGCAGAAAACGATGTGGAAGTCTGGGGGAAGCATGTTTCAGACCCGGGGAAGAGCATGTACAAAGGCCCCGAAGCAGGAGCCGGCTCCGCATGATTGAGAGACAGCAGGACGGCCAGCTTGCCTACAAGAGATGAGACAGTCCCAGAGTACCTTGGGACACGTCAGGTACTGTGGCCTCAGGTTATCAGCTAACGTGGTTGTAAAGGTTTTCATGGATATGTATCCCGTCTTCCCAACTCCACGTAAGACTCTTGAGGGCGAGGTCTGTGTTCGAATTTCATGCTCCCACCAGTCCCGGCTCAAGCAATGCCTTGCACACAGCAGGTGTTCTTTCTCTGTTCATTTAATTCGCGGTGACCTCTAGGCCTCCGCTGTCCCACTCTCAAAAATACTTCTGCGCTAATTCCGGAGGCAGGTAGCCCTCTGGCGAACCACCGGTGAGCTGTGTGCAACACTGTTGTGATCAGTAAGAAACTCAGGCTACGTCCAGAGCGACACAGAAAGCCCGCAGACCACAACCGCCCCTCGCTGTCTGCAAACCCGCAATGTCACATAAGCGCTAACACCCGAGACTGAACTGCGGCGCGGTTCTTCTGCGCATGCTCGGAGGAGCTGCTGGCTTCGCCACAGTTCTATGCTTAAAGATTTCCGTAATATTATTATTATCCCACAAGGGTGTCGTGGGGATTAATGAGACATTTTCAAATCACTTTGAGCTACTCCACTGGGGGTACTAAATAAGTGGCGTGTGTTTCTCCTGAAGTGCCATTTTTGACATTGATTTGTTGTGATGGGCCCCGCCGTCCAGCAGGGCTGGGATTCGCCCACCAACTCACTCCCTGTAAACAATAGGCTTGCCATCAGAAGGCGGTGGTTTTCGGTTATAATAAATACGACGTGAAGCAAACTAGTCGGCAATCAGAACCAAATAGGCCGCTGTGTGAAAGCTAGCATTTATTAAGCACTCACAGTGATCAACATAAGAGTTTCACAGTGTGACACAGAACAGGGAACCCCAAGTTTGGAAATGGTCCAGGATTCCAGGCCCCACTCTGCCTCTACCTCACTGTGTGAGCTTGAAGAAATTGCTAAACTTCTCTGGGCCTCGAACAGCAAGGAAGGGCTGTTCTGTGGGGCTTGTGAGCGCCTTCCAGGTAAAGGGAATGCATGAAGGGAACAGAAACAGTCATTTCTGAAGGAGACAGGCTTCGCCGCAGGGAGAAGCTTGTGACCATCCTCCGTTCTGGGCTTCCTTGCCATTGATTAATATTAATTTCAGGACTAATTCCTGCAAATGGGGACATAAATCACTTGCTAAGCCAGACATAGAGGTACATGTAACGTTTGGTCTTTAAAAATAGGTCCTCTGCCTTTCGACGGGCCATCCTTACAGTAAGCCCTCTCGGCCTCATCCTTAGGTTTAAATGTATGAGCTATGGATGACGCTGCTACCCTAACCCCTGGCTCAGGCCTGGTGCCCACCTGGAGGTGAAGGACGGGGAAGAATGCGCCCACTTACTGCAAAAGAGGCAGAGGTGAAAACCGTGCAGAACAACCCAACAGCACACTGTCCTGGGGGCCAGGCTCCCTTCTCCTCACCCCAGGAACCCCAGCGCTCCAGGGCTCAGAAAGGAGAAACGCTGACACTCCAGAGCAGGGAGAAAGGCAAAAGATCACTAGTTGAGAAATGTGAGTAAGCAAGCAGACTCAGTTCCTACTACATGTCAGGCGCGCTGGTCTGGTCGCTGCTAGGAATGTAAATTGGGCAAGACCTAGTCTGTGCCCTCCAGGACCACGGATCACTCGGGCTCCAGGTCCCATCGAAAACTGAGGCATGACAACAGCTCCTTTTTTGTAAATGACTCCAATGCTGCGACAGGAACCGCATCTTAAAGCCTGGGGTTGGTTGCCTCTGTGTTGGGGTTGTGAAAACGTCTGGAAATGGGGATTGTGTTCAAAGCGACCCCAGCAACGTGGAAAACTCGGTTAGGTTCAAAGGGAATGAATGTAAGTTATCTCCAGGCCTAAAGCAAGCAACAGAGATACAAGGTTTGGAATGAATGTTCTGTTCTCCCAGTTTAACAACTAGAGCGTGGCACATCCCCCACCGCAAGTCCAGCAGCGAGCAGAGGGTCTAGGTACAGGTCCGGCCCGGTCCCTCCCACCACAGATTTAAGATGAGATGTGAATTTCGTCATTTCCCTCTTATTTTCCCACCGGCAGGAAACCTCACAGTGCTTGTAAAGCCCCGGCTGCCCTCTCGGAGCCCAGCCAGGACCGTGGTCCTGGATTATTCCCCACGGCTGGACTCTAAGCTGTGACAGTCAGTGTGAACGCTGCCTTACAGAAGCGAAGTCCCCGCACGCCACTAATGACCCGTTTTCTGCGGATTCCGGGCGCCAAACCCACCACCACCCCTTCCTCCTTGCAGCTTCTCATCCAAACAGGAGCTAAATTAATTACAGCCCTCCGAGCCTCGAGGTCTTCCACCGCGGGGGGGGGGGGGCTCAGGAGGCTGGGCGCAGCTTGCCTCTTCCCCAGGGCGCCCACCTGGCCTGCCACCCCTCCCTGGACCCGGCTCCGAATCGGGGCACATCCCCGCCCTCCCTCCTCTGGCCTCCGCCAGCTGCCCCCTCGCGTCCGCGGCGCCCGGCTCCCCCGGGCCGGCCCAGGTGGAGAGTGCGGGGCGAGCAGGCTGGGCGCTCACCCGCCCGAGGCCGGCGGAGCCCGGGGGCCGGGGTTCCCGTGGAGCCGGGGAAGCGGTGCAGACGCCGAAGTGCCAGCGGGTGCCTGGGTGACTCAGGGCCGAGGAGGGCGGCGAGGAGGGGCAGGGCGGGCGCGCGCGTGGTGGGCGGGGACCCCGAGGGGCCGCGGAGGGCTGGCGGGCGCGCGCCGGGCGGGCGCGGGGACGGGGACCCAGGCGGAGGCGGAGGGAGCGCGGGGGCGGGCGCAGAGGCGTCTCCGCCGTGGAGCCCGCGGGTCGCGCCACAGCCAGACGGAGCCCCGCGGCCGCGGCAGCAACAGGCGGCGGGCAGGGCTCGCGGGCGGAGGCGGCGCTGGGGCCCGGAGCAGCCGCCCGGCCCCCGCCGCATGGAAGAGCGTCTCAGCCTGCTGAGCTCGCCGCCGCCGCCCGCCGCCCGCCACCGCGCCCACCCTCCGCAGCGCCCGGCCGGCGGCGGCGCCCGCACCCTGGTGAACCCGGGCTACGCCGAGTCCGCCGCGAGCCCCGAGCTGCCGCCCGACATGACCGTGGTGCCGGGGGACCACCTGCTGGAGCCGGAGGCGGCCGACGGCGGCGGGGACCCGCCTGAGGGCGGCTGCGGCGGCGGCGGCGGCGGCTGCGACCGTGACCGTGACCGCTACGAGCCGCTGCCGCCCGCGCTGCCGGCCGCCGGCGAGCAGGACTGCTGCGGGGAGCGCGTGGTGATCAACATCTCGGGGCTGCGCTTCGAGACGCAGCTCAAGACCCTCTGCCAGTTCCCCGAGACGCTGCTGGGCGACCCCAAGCGGCGCATGAGGTACTTCGACCCGCTCCGCAACGAGTACTTCTTCGACCGCAACCGGCCCAGCTTCGACGCCATCCTCTACTACTACCAGTCCGGGGGGCGCATCCGCCGGCCGGTCAACGTGCCCATCGACATCTTCTCCGAGGAGATCCGCTTCTACCAGCTGGGCGAGGAGGCCATGGAGAAGTTCCGCGAGGACGAGGGCTTCCTCCGGGAGGAGGAGCGCCCGCTGCCCCGCCGCGACTTCCAGCGCCAGGTGTGGCTGCTCTTCGAGTACCCGGAGAGCTCCGGGCCGGCCCGGGGCATCGCCATCGTGTCCGTGCTCGTCATCCTCATCTCCATCGTCATCTTCTGCCTGGAGACGCTGCCCGAGTTCCGCGACGAGAAGGGCTACTTCGCGTCGGCGTCTCAGGAGCCGCTGGACGCGGCCAGCAACAGCACCTCGGGGGCCCGGGCGGGGACCTCCAGCTTCTCCGACCCCTTCTTCGTGGTGGAGACGCTGTGCATCATCTGGTTCTCCTTTGAGCTGCTGGTGCGCTTCTTCGCCTGTCCCAGCAAAGCCACCTTCTCGCGAAATATCATGAACCTGATAGACATCGTGGCCATCATCCCTTATTTCATCACTCTGGGCACGGAGCTGGCTGAGCGCCAGGGCAACGGGCAGCAGGCCATGTCGCTGGCCATCCTGAGGGTCATCCGGCTGGTGCGGGTCTTCCGCATCTTCAAGCTCTCCCGCCACTCCAAGGGGCTGCAGATCCTGGGGCAGACGCTGAAGGCCTCCATGCGGGAGCTGGGGCTGCTCATCTTCTTCCTCTTCATCGGGGTCATCCTCTTCTCCAGCGCCGTCTACTTCGCCGAGGCAGACGACCCCACTTCACGGTTCAGCAGTATCCCGGATGCCTTCTGGTGGGCGGTGGTCACCATGACCACCGTAGGCTACGGGGATATGCACCCAGTGACCATAGGGGGCAAGATCGTGGGGTCGCTCTGCGCCATCGCCGGCGTCCTGACCATCGCGTTGCCGGTCCCCGTGATTGTCTCCAACTTCAACTACTTTTACCACCGGGAGACGGAAGGGGAAGAGCAAGCCCAGTACCTGCACGTGGGGAGCTGCCAGCACCTGTCCCCTTCAGCCGAGGAGCTCCGGAAAACGCGGAGCAACTCGACTCTGAGTAAGTCGGAGTACATGGTGATCGAAGAGGGGGGTATGAACCACAGCGCTTTCCCCCAGACCCCCTTCAAAACAGGCAACTCCACGGCCGCCTGCACCACGAACAATAACCCCAACTCCTGTGTCAACATCAAAAAGATATTTACCGACGTGTAATGTGCTACAAGTGACCTGCTGTGCTCCGTGCTGTGTGCACTGTGCCCCTCGGTCTGTGTATGCCCTTGTTCTATACATTTCCAGACCATTCACCGTGGAAAGGTCTCGAGGACGTGGAAAGCACACTTCATTCTCTCCCCGCTACTGCTTCACTCTGAGCAGGTGGCTGAGTGGCAAGTGGGCTGCATTCTCTCAGCTCTCTCTCTCTCTTTTTTTCTTTCTCTTTCTTAATCATGCAAACAACCAACTTAAAAACTTGATTTCTAGTACACACCCTATGGGGGGGGGGGGACTTGTACATCCTGGGAGGAAATGAAACTAAAGAACAGTTACAGTAACTGTTTAACCTCAGAACTGTAGAGCAGCTGTTGCTTTACTAAGTGATGCAGGCACATGGCCCGGACCTTTCAACATTATTGACTGTTCAGTTCAATCGCCAACACTGTGGATATGTGAATGGAAAGTCCAATCAAAAAGACTTTTAAGCCCACCATAAGTTTATTGGGGTTTTGACTGGAATTTCTGTTCCATTCGGAACACCCTTTCCCAGAAGATTAAGGATGTCTACAACTTCGAACAAAGGGAAATGTCCAAGATGCACTGATCTGATTCATGAACTCTTTGGGGCTTGTTAGGCATTTCAAAAGTCTTAGACTAACAGGTCCCCATGAAGTTCTGTGTGTGTGTGTGTGTGTGTGTGTGTGTGTGTGTGTTCCAGCCACTAGGAACAGATGTTTTCGGTGCTGCTGAGAGAAACAACATCAAAAATTGCTAGTGCATCTGAAAGATAAACTTCTGCAGTATCACAAGAAGATTAAAGTGGCAGACACTCCTTCCAGTGGAAGTTACTAATTCGGACCTGACTGATGCAGTTTCCATAGCAACCCATGTTTCCTGGGAAACCCGAAAAAGGTTGTCATGGCATCTCTTGCTCTCTGTCCCCGCCCCCTAGCCCCTGCCGTTTCCACAGTAACCTTTCCAGATGGTTCCTACTGACGTGATTTCATAAGGAAAACCACTGTTTGAATAAACCGCACAAATAAAGTGAAGTCTGGGACTCCAAGGTGGTGAAATGAATCACAAAATGCATATTTTTTTACTACAAAAAAGTCATTGATATCATCCTCTAATGACTGAATTAAAAAAGGAAAATACTGTCTTCAGAATGGTAGATGTACACCACCATCAGGTATAATGTGAATTAAATGCCAACAATTAGGCCATACTTTCAAAAGATGCTTCTCTACTGTTTTCTTTCTCCAGGAAGTTCCCAGCCAACAAGTGAAATTAAAAAGCAAATCTAAAAGTGCTCTGTACATAAGCAAGCGAAAGATTCAATCAGTGCACCTGAACCCTTACTACAGGGGACCTCCAGACTTCCTCTTTAAAGTACAAAATCCAGGGTCCACAGCAGTTCTGCCACCAGCGCAGCCCTTGAAAAGCTCAATAAAATCCAAACCTGAAAAGGATGCGTGTTTTTAACTGAGGGAATTGCAGACAATCAATAAAAAGGAGGGACAGGAAGTAACCAGATCTTGGGGAACCACCTCCAAGTTTCAGCCCTGCGCCAGGGGTTGCCAGGAGACAGAATCAGGTGAGCACGGCCTGGGCTCCTGGGACCGCTTCCCTTTTGTCCAGGGGGCAGCGGGGAGATGCCCTTCGTGGTTGCAGGTGTGGTTGCTGGGACCTGCAGAGCCAGCCGTTGTATGTTAATTGCCTGCTAGGTGCCCCTTCAAGATCCTTTAGCACAGCTCTTCCGTGTGAGTGCCGTGTTGCTAACTGTGCTCTGGTTCCCACTGTTTCTTGCAAAAAGATGGAAAAAAAAAAAAGGTATTTGCTTTTCAGAATAGCCTTCACCCAAACCGAGCTGAAAATGGTTGCATTCCTTTCGCTAACCCACTTGGCTTCTGAACAGCGTGTTTCTCCTTAGAAAGCAATAAAAGACAGAAGGTACTGCCACTGCATTATTGTTCTGGTGTTAACTTCCACAATTATTTGGTAGTATGTGGGAGAACAATTTTTTGAAACTAAAATGGCTAAAAATGCAATGAAGGTAACACTTTTTAAACGTAAGTAATTTTATAGACATGATAGACAGGATACATTTTCTACAGTTATACATTATCCACAATTATTTTTTGGTTTTGATGGGTTGTAGCTATTCTATCTTAAGAGTAAATGAGAGGAACCCTGTTTTAAGGCTCACGAAGTGTTTTCGGGTGTCAGAAGCCTCCTCACACTACTGTTTGTGCATTGGAGTCAGTAGAAAATAGCGGTGAAGTCTGGGAGAGGTGGAAGAGGAAAGGAATCTGTATGCCTGGCCACAGCACCGTGGTCCCCATCCATGTGCTTCGAAATAGCCCCTTTACCGGGTGTCCCTTGCTACTTGTTTGAGTTACTTGTAACATGGATCAAGTTTTGGGTATTTTTAATGACCAGAAATTCTTTTTCTGTGACCCATTTGAGTATTTATATGTTAGACACACTATAGTAAGAACATCAGAATAAATTTGGTATCTGTTTTTAAAAGATCTTACCATAGAGATGGACAAAGTGCCCCTGCAGTTTTATTCTCATTTTTCCAGAGGACATAGAAACCCTGATGAGGTCTGTGAGTTGTTAATGGTTGTGCCATAATTTTTGGAATTGTGTGGGCAGGAAGTAACTGATACAAAGGAGACTCTTTTTAAAAAACATCTGGAGAAGCAGGAGCCTGAACTTCGGGGTAGTGTCATTGCTTCTGGTCGCCATATTGGTAGCTCCTTAAAGGTTGCAGGTTCTGTGTTTTGACAGCTCTAGACGCACCTGCCTAGCCCAGAATGTAGCATCTTGTATGTGTTTAATGGGCGTCGGAGGAGTGAATGGCTCTTAACTTACATTAATGTGATTTTCAGACTCTTAATGAAGTGGTTTAATGCATAAGCTTTGCAGTCATATTGCCGGGGTTTGAATCCTGACTCAGCTGTTTGACCTTGAGCAAATTACTGAACCTCTCTGTGCCCCAGTTTCCTTATTTGTAAAATGAGGAGGATAAATAATACCTCCTAGGGCCAATGTGGAGGTTAAATATTAATACAGGTGTAACCCTTAAAAAAGGTAATGGCATGCTAAGCAGCAGAGATTTCGCTAAGAGGTTACATTATTGTGTTATATTGTTTGCTAAGAGATTACGTTATTGCTGTGGTTATTATCCATACACATTGTTTAATTAATACTGTCATTATCCACACACATTGTTTAATTAATACTGAGCTTTGTGAAGGATATGAAACCCATAAATAGTGTCTTCCTGTTTACTTTCTATGTAACAATAATAATTGCCACTTATTAAGGTCCAACCACATCCTCGACACTTCCAAACTCTGCGAGTTAAGGAGTATTAACCCCATGTTAGGGTAGTAAAAATGGATGGTTAAGGTTAAATGATTTCCCTGAGACTTCACGGCCAGCCAAGCCATTCTGGCCCCAAGGCCCCCTGTGCCTTTTACTGGCGACTTGAAGGAGACTGAGAAAAGAAATTTCTTATGCCCTCGGGCTTGACTGCAGCCCATGTTACTAATTAATGAATTCCTGGAAGGGACATAGCTCCAGAAACCTATTTCATTCGGTATCCTGAAAATTAACCCTTGTCTCATCATCAGGTATTTTTAAACCATAGGAATCAAATATAAGTCATTTAAATTCGATGAAGAGATGGACTTTCCCAGTAAGAGAAGATTATTTTCTTATATGATTGCTATGTCTGGACTTCATATTATGATCAGAAAGTATAAATTGTCAACAGTAGTGATACTTGCTAGGGCCATGGACAGTTTCCTGTTTGGAGGTGAATTTCCTATTTCCGTGTGTTTTCATCTGCAGTAAATAATAGTATTATGCAAATTGGTGTTTTTCCACCTCCTTACACTTTGCTTTGGTTACTAGAGCTCCGTGCCAGAAAGTGGTGTAAACATTTTGACCCCCTCTCATCAGAAGGGAGAAATTACTTAGAACAAAAGGATCAAAGCAGGAGACTGCCAGTTCTTGGAAATTTGTGACACTGTTGCTTTACAAGAGCAACTGTCCTTAGGAAAACATTAGGATATACTTTTGTTCCACAGAATACCTGTGGCCCCTTCCCTAAGATCCAAAAAATTCCAGTTTAGCAAAACGAGAATGGATAGGATAGTGACTGGGGCTTGGAGAAAAATGCTAATGATTCCAAGCCTGCGCAGGCCAGATGGCTTTGCCAGACCGCAGGCTTCACTGTCGAGCCCAGCTGCGCGCCTTGCATGTTGGAAGGGGCACACGTGTGTGCCTGTGTGCACTAGGGATTTGTGGGGGAGGGGTGGCTGCATGCGTGCACGTCCATCACCACCCCAGGGAAGAAGTCTCTGCACCCCACAGCTGGGGAATCAAGAGAGAGAAATAGCATCATTATTAGTTTTTTCCTTTCATGGTGTTAATAAAATTTGCATGCCCACCGAAGACGGTGACATCATCACACACAGCTACACATCAGAGGGACGTGTTACATCAGTTATTTCTAAGCTTGAAAATAAAATTTGGGGGGGTTGAAATTTTAAAGGCACAGTATGAAGAAATTTAAAATTAGGATTTGTTGACATAAGACATGGTCTTTATCTCTTTGGCATATAACATACTGAAGTCACTGCTTTGCTGATCGTATAGAAAGTCAATAAGTGTAATATATACCACTGTTCTGTTCCTTAGAGAATCATTACTAATTCATTGACTTCTATATGTTTAAAGTTTCACCGTTTTCTGCAGCACCTTCCAAGTCCTTCCCACCTTTCAGTGTGCATGAAAGTGATAACACCTCCCACTGAGAAGTGCAAAGTGGTACACGTGCCCTCCTCCCCCCAGTTTGCAGACTTAGGAAGTGCTGTGAGACAGTGGTGAGGAGCGGAAGTGGGGGGAGAGGACTGTGGGGGCTGGGTGGTCAGTGTGGGCTGCTTTTCTGGCTGTTTGGTATTTGGCCTTTTAAACTAAGGAGCATAAAACTATTGCTTTTGTACAACTAAAAGCCATAGTTTTTATTGCTTTTTTGCAATTAAAAAAAGCAATAATGGAGAGTGGGCAGATCAGAGGAGGCAGGAAGAGGGGAGAGGAACCATGCAGAGCCCAAACCTTCCTATGTGACTCGGCTTCTAACCTGTTGTCAGAAAGGGGCCAGTGCTGCAGAGTCTATACTAGTATTCTTTACATGCTCATATCCACCCTGAGGTATAATTTGAACGATCCAGGCAGGTTAGAAAGTTTTCAAAGATTTGTCATTGTTTTTGATGATACCGTAGACTAATTTTGCCCTTGAAGTGGTAGTGAAGAAATACTTTTATGGTTTTCTCTCTCCCGCTCTCTCTTTTTCCCCCTCCCTGGATGTGTTTTTTCCTTGCATTTCAAATTTTGCACCCGTAACCATCAAGTGCATTGGAGATGCGGTGTGGAGGAGACGCCGCATCATTTTCTTGGGAGCCGTTTTATGATCCTTGCAACCTCAATGGTGCAGAGTAGGAGCTCTGGCCCGAAAAGGAAATCCTGGGGTCGTTCAGCTGGTTAGTGAGGCAGCATGAACAACAAACGGCGTTTCATCACATCTGAAGACCGCTGTGCACGCAGGGCCCTGAGTTTGCCATGACGGGGGGGGGGGGGTTCATGCCCCCCGCCATGGTGGTGGGAAGTGGAGGGAAGCTTTTTCTGGCCCAGGGTGCCCCAGCCTCACCCTCACTGGTACTGAGTGCAAAGGCTCTTGGGAATCT